TCCCACGGCAGGCGCAGGGAAGGGCTGGGAGCACAGGGCGAGCGGGCGGCATGGAGACCCAAGGGTTGTTCCGTCTTTTGCCTCCTGGGTTCCCCTGCTCCTGCATTTGGACCGAGGCTACCAGCCACTGTCGATGGAGGCGAGGGGCCGAGGCTCCTGGGAGGAGCACCGGGCAGGAGGCAGGTCCCAGAGGTGAGGCAGGGTCCTGGACCTGCTCACGGGGTGGCAAAGGCAACGGGAACATACCTTGTGAAACGGCCTTTCCTCCGCCCGCCCGACCCGGGGGCCCAGAGCCTCCTCCACCGCAGCCGGGCCGCCGGCCTCTCCGCAGGAGAGGACAGGACAGGGGGGCTCTGAGGACTGGTCTGGCTCCAGTCCTCAGCGGGGCTCGGGGACAGGGCGGCTGTCGTGCGCGTCTGACAGCAGCGAGGAGAAAGGCGGTGTTTGTGTTGCCTCCTCTTTGGTCTCAGCGACTCCTCCTCTCCCCGAATAAGTTCCCTCGGGCCCAAGCACACGGACTCCAGTGCTGTCATCTCACGTGGCCTGAGCGTTTACCCCAAACGTCGGAAAACGTCCCTCAAAGCCCGGAGAGGCCCTTCCCAGCCCTGGGGGGGACTCCCACGCCACCAGGGAGACCTTCTCCTCTGCCCGCCCGGAATGGAGGGGCCAGACCCAGGCTGACACCGGGCAGCCAGCTGTGGGGGCTGTGAGCTGGAGGGGGGGCATCAGGAAGTGAGCCCTCCCACGGTGCCCCCCTCGGGGAGGGGAATCTCAGGGGCCGGCTCTGGCTGCGTTGAGGGGGCAGAGAGGTCAGGATTCAGAGCCTGAGGGAGCTGGAGTGTGTGGGGTCGAAACCAGAGAAGAGCACATGCGAAGAAGTGAGCCCCAGCAGCCTGCAAGCGGCCCCTGGAGTCTGAGCTGAGCGCCGCTTTGCACCTGCTGGAAAGCACAACTACCCGAACCCAGGAGAACTGCCAGAAAAGAGCGGACGCTTCCAGGACTGCGCCCAGAGCAGGGAACAGTCCTTGCTCCCTCCAGCCCCCCGTGGAAGGATCTCGTACACACAGACGTTAGGTTCAGTCCTCATGAGGGTAATCAGCCCCAGACCAGGGCTTCTCAGCCTCCACAGACGGGCGTGTCAGGCTGGGTGTCCTTTGTTGTTGGGGGCAGAGGGCGGCCCTGGGCCCTGGGGATGTGCAGCAGCACCCCAGCCTCTCCCGGGTAGGTACCAGCGGCGTCTCCCCGCACGCCACAACCACAGGTGCCTCCAGACGTTATTAGCGGACCCCAGGGGAGTCGCCCCTGCCCGAGAACCACTGCCCGGACCCCAATCTGCCCCACACGCCCCGAGAGGCTCAGACTGCTCTGGAGCAGCGGCCGTGCGCCCCAGCACCCCAGGAAGAGGTCAAGGTTCTTCCCAGGACCACGACACAAATACCAGCTGGTCGCGGCGGCCTCGGCTGGGCTGCAGGTATGTGTGGGGTGTAAAGGTTCACCTGAGGAAATGACCCAGACGTCCATCGACAGAGGAACAGATACGGACAACGGAACATACACCTACCATGCACTATTAATCAGCCTTGAAAAGAAATCCTACCGTTTGCGACAACTTGGGTGAAAGCAGAGATACTGCGACCCTAAGTGCAACAAGCCAGTCACAGAGGGCAAATACTGCAGGGACCCGCTTATGTGACGGACACACCCAGACTAGCTGGAGTCATAGAGGCCGGAACTGGAACAGCGGTTGCTGGGGGCTGGGGACGTGCGGCTCAGCGTGAGTGAGGCGTCAGCCGTGCCAGGTGAGTGGTGAAGACCTGCGGTACGACAAGGTGCCCGAGTGCCACCGCGCCACGGTGGCCTTTAAACTATGCTAACAGGATGGCCCCACGCCAACCAAGTGCTCTTACCACTGGAAACACACAAAAGCCACCCACAAAAGAACACAAGGACGTTTTCAGAGACGATGGGCGTGGTTAGTGCCTTGAGGGCAGCGACGGTATCGGGAGTGGGTTTACGGCCAAAACTCACCCGCGTGCGTAGAGTGAATATGCGACGTGTTCGTACATTAAACACAATTAGAAATTCCAGTTCACCACGATTCTTACATTCAGCCAGAAAGGAGCACCGCTAGGTAACTCCAGAAAGAAAACAAAACGGAAAAGATGCGGTGGACAGGGAAGGAACATGGCAGAAGCTCTGAGAAACCTGGGGAGGCGTGGCCAAACGGCAAGCACCGACGGCAGAAACTGTCCCGGCTCTGCTCGCGAGGACGGGTCTTGGGAGCCGCCAGCTGCGGGGAGACGGAGGGGCGAGCCTTGGCGCAGGTGCCCCGGCCCCTGCGCCCACCGTCGACGGATCTCCACAATCAAGCAGGAGATGCCAGCTCACACGCAGGCCCTGGGAGACGCCAACACACCCCTGAGTTCCACGTGGTTTTCCTTCCCGAAGCTGCGGAGGCCGCCCCTGCTGTGCTGCCTAGGGGACCTCAGGACGTGGCCCGAACCCACACACGGGTCCATCCGGTCGCCCAGTTATGGCTGTTTTGATGTCTGGAATTTATCAGGTAAGTATGCGGGGGCAGGTGGGGGAGGCGTAGGGTGGAGAAAGGCCTTGGAACTCTGCTTTTAATAGTCTGGGCATTTTGGAGTCAGCAGGGGGCAAGGCTTTGCAAACTCGAGGACCAGTATACTCAGCACCGCGACCACCGCCGCCTTCCAAGCCTGGTCACCTGTCAGCCCTGCGGGCCAGCTCATCAGCCCTTTTAAAAACAGCGCAAGGAAGAGAGTGCGTGTGGCCGGACCTTCCACGGTTGGGCTGGGCCACCGATGGCCTCGATGAGAGGCAGCGCCTCCAAATGCTGACCCAGCTCAGGACTAAGGCGACAGCTTTAGAAAAATGCCCACCTTGGACCTGAAACTCAGCTCCAGCCGACGTGCAGGTCCTCACGGGAAGGGCTTGAAATCCATAAAGTTTTTGCAGAAACGAAAACCTCCCAAACGCACTTCTCCGGCAGAACCAGGCAGTCTCTTTAACGGAGCACCGCTGTGCTTTGAGAGTTCACGCCGGCGGCCTGGATCATTTTTCACCCCATCGAGTACTTTATGGGCAGAGCCCGGCAGGTTAACCAACAGCCCCGGGGCCTGCGAGAGAGAAGGGGTCACCGGGCCACGGCTAACAGGACCCAGGGGCTGTTAATTGGACTCTCTCATCAGTTCAGCTTGGAAGCCGAGCGGAGAAGTTGCCTGTTTCCTGGGGTTTCTAATCTAAATGGTGCTGACACACTCCAGCGGGAATAATCTGAGCAGTTCAGTGGATGTGAACGGTTTTAGATTCTGAAATGTTTTCTACCGAGAGAGGAGAGCCGGGAACTCGGAAGGACGGGAGGCAGGGATCCTGCCTGCGGGTTTGCAAACCTGAGCAGGGGGCACAGACCCCGCCTGGACCACTTCTCCAATGGCAGCGAGGCTGCCCTTCCTGCTGGTGGCTGTGGGAGGGTCTCCGCCCGCTTTACCGACCGACGGGAGTCCTGGCCGAGCTCACGCAGCAAGCACAGGGCCTCCATTGTTGGCTTCAACTGCCAGCGGCAGGGAGGGGGTTGGGCCACAAAAGCTCTGTGGCTGCGGCTGTCCCCGGGCTGGAAGTTCTTTCCAACCTCCTGCAAAGGCACATTTTCAGCACGCTGTTATCTGCAGTGTTGCTTTAGGAATAAATGAAGGTGTATGCATGCAAATAAAAAATGGGGACATAAGAGCTGCTCTTTGCCACTGAGGGTTTAAAACGTAGCCATGAACACTTCTGTCAAATGCAAGAGGGCGTCATTCAACAAGTGTTTCTCTCTCTGGAGGACTGAAAATAACCTCGATGAAAATTACGCAATGATAAAATTCTGTCCCCACCTGATTAATTACTTGTGAATAATCACATCTCGGGTCTCTTGCAATTATATTCTAATGGCACACCTTTTGCCCTGGTTGATCAGGCAATGAACTAATGAACAACTATTACTGAATTTAATTAACACCATCATTTCTGCGGCCTTTCCGTCTGTTGGGAGCGTGGAAATTCACGACCCCAGGGCTGGGACCGGAGGAAGCCTGCCTTGAACCCTGCAGAACAGGCCCTCCCTCCTGTCGCCCTGGAATAAGGCGGCCAGTGTGTGGACAAAGACCCGCGGGCGCTGCCAGCGTCCACGGGAAGCCTTCCCTAATAACAGCACCGGTGTGCAGAAAGGTTGCCTTTTCATCGCACAGGAGCAATCTGCGTGTTGTGGTTTTCAAACGAGAGGGGTAGGTGAGCTATCAAGGGAGTCAGTTACAGTGCCGTTCATAATTTATTCCATGCGCAATAAAGAGCGATCAGGTTTCATACCTGTTTGCTCTCGGAAAGATAACGCTCGTGGCGGCTTACCCCAGTTGCAGGATACAGAAATGTTTCCGAGTCATTTATCTCATCTTGGCATTCTAAAGCCCCGAAGTTCCTTATTTCCCCGCCATTGTAGTCTCTGCTTGAAAATGTGAGCTCACCCTCAAAGAAGAAAACACCATTCTTGTTGGCCTAACTTAAATCATTCTATTTTAACTCAGTCAAGGCAAACCGTAGATATTCTGCTAACGCGTCAGGAAACGCACAGGAATTTGTTTTTAAAGACAGATGATTGCAAATTTACAGCACTCAGGATATTTAACTCGCAGAAATGCACTCCATTACTACATGTGGATACAAATAATCCGACTCTCTGGAGCACTAATAAATGTTTGCAAATTCAGACATGTGTCACGTGTAAACTACATTCATCCAGTACGCTTCTCCCCGCCCCACATTTCAGACACTGAAACAAATTACAGGATGTGAGAGCCTCTTCCGAGCCCCAAGGGAACGACTACAAACAAATGATTTGTTTACGACGCAGACAGAGCAACTGAACGGTCTGCCCGCTGAACGCCGCCTCCGGTTCTCTGAGGCGGGCGTGTACCCCCGCTCCCTGCCCAGTCCAGCCGTACCTCGTATCTGCTGGCCGTCCGCTCGGCCGCCTTCAGGCCTTGGTACATGTGGACGATACACACCTTGGCTCTTCTCTGGGAGGGGAACCAGTTCTTCTTCACGAAATCCATGACCATCACATGGTTTTTCAACTCCGTACTAAACGCTTTGATCTGGAAAGTGCGGTGCACGGCCGTGTCCGCGTGGCGGGCAGCACACCCGTCCGGGTGAGTTTTCGCAGGAATTCCAGGGTGCTGCATGATACCTGCAATCTTGTGACTTCGGCTTGCGAGCCTGGCTGACACAATTTTCTTTGTTCCGTCCAGGTATTGAGTGCAGCAGGGCCTGGCTCCGGCCTTTCCCGGCTTTTCCAGCTCCAGAGCTCCTTGTCCCTGAGCCCTGGCTGCAAAAGGGACAGGGGGTGTACCTGGAACTCTGGAGGGTAACCCTCACGGGCCATAAGAGGGCCCCTTGCTGCTGTCCATCTGTCCCCAGCGCTTCCACCTGTGTGCTCTGGCCACCCGCAGCCTTCTCTGATTTCAAAGACACAATTCCCTTGCCTGCCGCGTTCGCTCTCTGAATGCCAAGTCTGCCTGGTCACACTGGGGGCCCACGAGTGTGCAGGCCCCCAAACCCAAGTAAATCATTCACAGTGTGCCGGGCAGAGGGGCCAGAAGTGGCCATTGCTGCTTCTCACAGCTCCTGCTCTCCCGTGCCAGGATGGAAGGAAACCAGTGCTGAGTCCTGCAACACAAAGGGTGACCTCAGCCCCGGAGAAGATAAGAAACACATTCAAGTGACAAAGGGAACTCGGTACAGAAGCTGGGGTGGCAGTGGGTGGGTCTCAGAGGGACAGTCTGTGTGAGGAGCTGCATGCCACCCGGTGGGGGCGAGGCACAGGCTGACACGGCGCTCTGTCCCCAGCCAGCCACGGGAAGTCCTCTCGCCACCTGAGCCTCCGTGTCTCGTGAAGAAAAACTGAAATATGAGGCATGTCCAGAAAGTATCCAGCCAAGTGCTCTGAAAAATAGACATTTATTGAAGAAGATACAAGAAACACTGTACACAGGACTATGACACCTCAGTCCCCTCCAAAGCAGGCACCTTGGGACCGCACCCAGTTCTCCCTGTCTCCAGGAGCTGCCTTGTCGCGTTTCCCTGAATCTCATCGGCAGCCTGAAATCTTGCCCCTTTCCAAGGTGATTTTTTGAGTTTCGGGAAAAGCCAGAAGTGGTGGGGCACCAAACCTGGGTTACAGGGGGCTGAGTCACCTGGGTGATCTGATGCTCCACCAAAAAACTCTGCAGAAGACGTGAAGCGTGAGCGGGCGCACTGTTGTGATGAGGCCGCCAATCACCAGCTGCCCACAGCTGCAGCCTTCGGAATCATCCACATAGTTTCTGTGGAGCAATGTTCAAGCTTCATGCAAAATGGGATGCAGATGAGTTGTTCCACTCTCTCAGTCATTTTGAATGTGACAGCCACACAGCACACATGCTCACTCAACAGCATCTACTGCCCCCACTGACTAGCACAGTGAAGTCGTCCTTGTTCACGCATGTGCACTCCAGTTCACTCTCCTTGGCTGCCAGGTGACATCCATGTTGCACAAACTGTCCTCATTACATTAACAATGGCTGGACTTTTTCCGGACGGACCTCATCATAATACCTGCCACTCACAGGGGTGTTGGGAAGACCGGGGGAGCACATGCATGAGCAGAGAGCCGTGCGCAACGAAGTCACGCACATCGTCACCTCCAGAGCGCAGGTGTGCGTTTTCTGCCCGAAGTGTTCTGCACCAGGCCCTCTCCGTACGAGTGACACAGTGCAGATTCCCAGGGGCTGAAGACGACTGGATGCCGCATCTCGGATCCCTTAGAAATGCACGTGCACAGCATACTCCTTCCTGTTTTCTTTCGTGGTTTTCTTTCATGCCTGGGAACCCCGCACGCAGAGGTGGGAATGACAGGCCTCGGATTAAGGGCTGGGGCTGGGAGAGGGCAGAGGACCCGCATTGGGGTCCAGATAGCAGCCGTTCTCTGCAGGCAGCTCCCTCCGACTTTAGGCAAAGATGCCCCTCCCCCCATTAATTCTCCCTCCCCATGCTGAAAGCCACAGGGGCAAGAAAATGAAGACATGTTTGCAGACGACTCTGCTGAACACAGAGCATTGGTCCTGGGCCCAGAACGATGCCCTTCCTGCTACAGGCAGGGACCTTGCCCCGCACACTGGGGGGCGGGGGGTGGGCGGCTAGGATCTGGCAGCGGAACGCCAACTGGCCCCCACTGGAGGCGACGGGAATGTTGAAGTTGCGAACACCATCAGAGTCAGAAAAGACGCATCAGAGTGGGAGACGGAAAAGACTCTGGAGTGAATGAGGCCGATGCTTCCATTCTAGTGTCGAGACGACAGACCCCCAGAGACCAGGTGCCTGCCCAAGACCCCACAGACACTGTCCAGTTCTGCCTGTGGTCCTCCCAGGGGTGAGGGCACTGTCAAGAACCAATGGGTGGCCGCCATGGTTCCCACAGAAACGCAACACGACCGAGGTTAAAGACTGAGCGGCTGCCGGCTACCGCCCAGGGCACCCCTGCAACACGGGCCCCATCCCGGAGCGGACACTCCCTGATGAAGACGGCCAGGGCGAAGGTCAGACAGCGAGCAGGTCGGAATCCGACAGGACAGCGAGGGCAGAGGGCGGCCGCTCGGCTGCCAGGGGGCCGGCAGAGGGCTGGCTTCTGGCATTCCTTCCTCCGGCTGCAGGCCCGGACCAGGGCCGGGGCCCCCGAGACTTTCATAAGCTGTAGATTCAGGAAACGATTCAAATGCAGGTTTTCAAGCCAGATACCAAAACACAGTGGACAGAGAAAGTCCCAGGCACAGCCCCAGGTGAGCCGGTCCTCACCCAAAGGACAGAAAGTCAGTCACATCTACGGTGCCAAGAGCATGGCACCTATGCGGTCCCCTCTCAGGCACCTGTACTGCCCAGGGAGAACCCTCTGACCTGCCCTGAGCCCTGCTCCTCCCCACCGCCACCCCAGGGGAGCTGGCCTGCCTTGTAAGACACCTGCCTCTGACCCCCGCTGGTTGGCTGGGGGTTGGGCACCCGGCCTGGCCAGGGAAAATAGCAGTCCGCCCTGGAGGATGGTGGTCCGGGAGTGGAGCAGAGGTGGGTGGCTGAGACCGCGGGGTGGAGCGCGCCAGCACGCAGTGGAGGTGGCAGCTGTCACAGGGCCCCGAGTGGGAGCCTCCCGCTGGTTCCAGAGCCCCGGCTCCTGCCGGTGGGGCCAATGACAGCATCGAGCATCTTTATGTTCTTTCTCCTTCGGGCTTAAGCTGCTTGAGTTGAATTTCTGTCCCTTGCCACCCACAGAGTCTCGACTCGTCCTTGAAAACACATTCATTTATCAAACAGAGAGATGTGACGTGCTCCCGTGTGGCAGGCACAGTGCAGGCACCCGAGACACAGATGAAGGGGATGCCCCACGCGGAGTTCAGGCTCCTCAGAGGGACAGCCCTCCGTGGCGCGCGGCTGCTCAGAGATGCGAGGGCTTCCTCCGAGGGAGGTCGGGCGCCGCAGGCTGAGAGACCCTCCCAGGAGGGAGATGCACCACAGAGTCAGGAAAGGCCCCTGGTGCGCTGCCACCCCCACCCCTGGCTGGCGTTCCGTGGCTAAGGTCCACGGCCAGGCTCCACCTTCCGCTCTCCGTGCACGCACTGTGGCCCGAAGCGGTCACAGCCCAGAACGGGGAGGCCTTCTCTGACGCCGTGTCCGCCGCAGAGACCACCATCCCTCTTTGTGGAACTCAGCTCTCGGAACACTCTGGGGTCCTGACGTAAACCAAAGAACTCAGCCAACCCCGTGAGTCGTGTCTCTGACCTGAGAAGGTCCTACTTAATTTGCCTACACGGGTCCCTGGGGAGACGGACGAAAACCGTCACCTTGTCAGCGAGGGCAACGCAGTGACTCCACATCAACACACATGAGCCTGGACCGTGGCGCGTGTCGACGCACACGTGAAATGACGCTCTTTCTCCTCCCTGGCCCCTGGTCTGACAGGCCGGGCTGTGCAGGAGATGCGGCACCGTGTTTAAATAATGAATTATTCACAAAGAAAAGGGACTCGCGGGCACCTGACGCCAGAACTTCATGCCCCTGAGTTCTTAATCCGCCCTCCAATGGGATCAGCATTTACGCCGAGGAGAGATGCCCTAATTACGTAGCTCCGGAGCTGACTTTCCGCAGAGCCTGCGCGGATCTAGGGAGCCTTAGGCAACAATAGAAACAGATGACTATGAATTTCTGAATTCGTAACTGGGTTTCCTTTTCGGGGGAAACGGCATTTTTATCTGTGGGCGCCGCGCTCGGGAGGTGGCGGCCGGGTTCCGTCCTGTCCTCAGGGGCTCGGCGCCTGCCGGGCACGCCTCTCCACCGCCGCCCCGGCGTGCGTGCCGCATTCACGGGCCTCCGGGAGCGGAACCCGGGCGGGATCTTCTCCTGCTTACTCCCCCCGCCCCCCCAGTGGGGGTCCTAGACCCAAGCAAAAGGACCCAGAAGCACGTGGCGGAGGAGGGAACCTGCGCCCGGACTGGGGTTAGGAGAACACAAGTCTGCCTAAGGAGGCCCTTGCCCTTGACCTTGACCGCCCTTGACGATGACCGTGATGCTGTGGGGGAGGGGCAAGGGCATTGGCTGGTGCCCAGCAGGCGGACGGAGCGAGAAGCTGTCATACACGTCTTCTTAGATGGCTGCCTTTTCCTCTCCTATAAATGGGAAACTTTTTCCTGTTGTTTACACAATGTTCGCAACCTATGACGATCTGATATTTTTTTTAGTGTTCCAAAAAACATGGCGCAGCCACCCACCGGGTTCATTTTCTCCCCCCTTTTTCAAAGATTATATTTTATTGATTATGCGATTAGTTGTCCCAATTCTTCCCCCTTTGCCTCCTCCACCCAGCACCCCCACTCCCTCAGGCCATCTCCCCACCATTGCTCACGTCTGTGGGTCACGTGTGCAAGTTCTTGGGCTGCTCCGTTTCCTGTGCTGCACTTCACACCCCCGGTCTACTCTGTAACGGCCTGTCGTGCCTCTTCACCCCCTCACCTCGTCACCCGCCCCCTCCACCCCCACCCCTCCGGCAACCATCAAAATACTCTCCAAATAACACGATTCTGTGTCAGTTCTTCTTGTCTGCTTAGTTTGTTTTTAAGATTCGATTGTATGATTGTTGACAGATATGTATGGAAATTTTAAGGAAACATTAAACCCAATTTGCTGCTTCCATCCCGGGACAGTCTCACCCAAAGGGACGCCTAGCCCATCAGCCACCGGCGCTGCCCTTCCATGGAAAATGGACACCAGGCTGGGCTGCGGGCAGCAGAGGGCAGAGGCCTCATGCTGTGGCCTGAGGGTAGACACTCCACTGGCCACATTTGCTCCTCACAAGTGCAAACTCCCTGTCGCCCTCGGCCACGTCTCCTTGCTTGCACGAATGAATTGTTCAGCAAGCGCACTGAACACACTCCCGAAACCCCCCAACTGACAGCCTGTTGAGAGGCGTCCCACTGGGGCTGAGCTCAGAGCCCCTGCTCTCAAGGCGCCTGTGACACGTGTCTCCAAGACCGGGGGAAGGGCACCTCCCGGGGCTGCCTCCGGAGTACCCTCGGCAGCGTCCTGGGGAGCCCCACTCCCAGGTCCGCCC